TTAGTCCAAGCCCCTCCCTCCCCCCGCCCCCCATTTTTAAGCGGAAGGACACTGATACATGAAATGAGCCAGCACTTTAATTAGAGTGGCTCTGGAAGCCCCCCCCCCAACCTCCCACACACATACAGACCCAGAGCATGTGTAAAAGTGCCCTAAATGCACAGTAACCAGTGTTACTGTGCAGTAATACTGGTGCATGTCTTTTAAGTGACACTAATGCAGAGTAGACTCATTCTACTGTGCATTAGCATAGTAGCACAGCTTTTGCCACAATGTGCTAAAGCACAGTAGAATGAATCTACTGTGCATTTAGTGTCTTGTGTAGATGCGGGCAGAATTGCACAACTACCAGGCACAATACCCAAGAACATCAAAATACCCTAACTTGCCACAGGTAAAAGGGGACAAGGGCACTTTCAGTGTCCAATCACTGCAAGAAAAGGAAATAGTTTTTAAAGTACACGTTTGAGATTTCCAATGCACAAGGATAAACACCACAATCAGTCAGTACCTGAGCTGTTCTGTTTGCAATCAGTCATCATCAGGGAAATGCTTCAGCCAATACCAAAGCTGTCTTTTTTGGGTGATGGCTTCCACTGTCTCTAGTTATCTTTCTTATTGCATTCAAAACATGTGTTCCTTCTATTTTTTGTCTGATAGCAGGGTGGCTAGTATGCCCATCAGCTTCAACAAGGTCTGTGGTTGCCTGTAGATGAAAATTTGCCTAATAGTAGCCATTATTACCTTCCAGCATAACAGTTTTCCAAAGATCACATTAGCTCCCTTTGTCATTGCCCGTTACTAGGACTTCATGTTCAGTGGGTTATCTATCGTGAAATTACTATGATCATGATTTTTCTGTCACTTATTTCCAGGTTACGGTTCCCAATCCTGCATTGTTACCTACGTACTTTGTTCCTGCAATATACGATTCTGGCTATGTATAAACACGTTTGCTTATGCCCACCCTACAAAGGGATCCAGGCAACTCTTATATGCGACCCGCCCTTTTTGTTATTTACCTCTTCACCAGTCTGTGTGTCATTTACACATTTTATCAGCAAAGAACGTATATTTTATCTTAGATCATAAAGAAACTAAATAGCACTCAGCCAAAAACAGATCCTATGAGACCCCATAATAATATTTTATGATAGATTTAATATTGTATTTGAAACTATCAGTTAGGACAGTCTTTAATCCATTTAATATCTGCTATATTGATTTAGTTTGGTGCTAATAGCTTAATCAGAATGCCATTTGGTACTAAATTAAAGGTCTTACAGATTTAAAAAAGTTATTGTGTCAACACAATTACCTTTATAAACAAAGTTGTAATATCATAAAAATGATAGTTTGTTTGACATGTCCTATTTTGCATAAAATCACATTGACTGCACCAATCAGGTTACTATCAGCCATTCCATTATTTTGCCTGAAATCAAGGTCAGTTTAACCCACCTACACTCAACCTGTCATCCTGTTTACCTTTTTAAAATACCAGCCCAATGTTCGTTTTCCTCAGTTCGTTTGAATGTCCCATCTATTTGAAGGCTTATTGAAAATCAGCATGAATTGTTCAGAGGATTCCTTTTAAAGCTCCTGAGTACAAGTTACCTGGTCCTACCTATTAACAATGTTCAGTATATGCTCTTTAACTTTTTTAGCTACTCCTGGGGTAGATAATATTGCGTTATGACACCACCTGCTTTCTTTTCAAATGTAAAACACAAATATTTATTTAACATTTCTTCTTTTTCTGTATCATTATTGACAATTGTACTATGATCCACTAATGGACTTACACCATTAATAAATCCTTTTGCTCTTGATTTAAATAATAATAATCTTTTGTATTGTCCCTAAACTATTTGGCCATACCTTTTTTCATTAATACCTTTACCTTCTTTTATTAGTTATTTGTATTACTTAACATAGATATTATAATATTCTTAGATATAAAATAATTGCTTGTTTTCTGCTTTTACTTTTCATGCTACACAAAATGGCATTTTAATCAAATAAATCCTAATAAATCCTTTTTAAAACCAAATAAATCCTTATCTAATAAAATACAACGGATTAGTTGGGACTGTATTGTTCACACACATTAAATTAACCAGGTCATGACTGAATGCATCTAGCCAACTACTACTTTTAGTTCAGTAGTCTTTATGAGGCAGAATGTGGCCTAATATAGAATTCCCCCATTTCAGGTAAGGTACTTTGTGTAATAGAGAATTATAATCTGTAGTTTTTAGAAATTTAAAGACATTTTAGTACTTCAGTTCATTTTTTCCACATTAGAGAATTCATAATAACATAGAATGTTTCATAACTTTTGTGACCATAACCAACTAATAAAAGAAAAATAAATACTATCCCTTTCCTCATGGGAAGAACAGGGCCCTTGTAATCCAGGGGGGCAGCTTTGAAAAAAACAACTGAACTTCTGAATCTCTCAGGAGGCAGAATTTTATAAGGCCAGTAAACTGTCTTAATAATTTTGCAAGGTTGGACTATGAATATAGCATAATAATTATTAAACACAGTGAATGAAAGAATCGAAAATGTTTAATGAAAATGACTTTATAGGCAAATAATTATTGTTCTTTAAAATTAGAGCATGACAAACACCAAATTGTAAATCATCTAAGAATGCACATAAAGAAACTCTTATCAAATTTATGCAGTTACGAATTAAATTAAAAACAGAACTATCAATAAGAAAAAAAATATATATATATAATAAAGTTATGTTTCCATGAGCTTTGCTTTATTTATTTTAACTAATATATCCCCCCCCACACACACACACAAAAAAGTAAAATATTCAAAGTTTATATTCCTTCTTAAAAAGTTAAAATACAAGTAATATATTTCCTTGCACAACAAAACCACAATGAGATGGATGGGCTATAAATGACCTATGTTAAGGCAAATAGCTTTAAGGTAAGGCACAATTGCCTTTTCTATTTTATCCGTGAATCTCTCTGGCAATTTCAGAAAAGCTTAGTGGGTTCAAACAGATGAGTGCATGCTAAGGTCAGGATATAGGTTGGAATAAAGGACAGACTTTCCAGTCTGTAAAGGTCACCCTGCACTAGACTAGCATTTCAAAATGGCTTTCAAGTAACCAGAGGTGGCTGGTGGAGAATTCTCTTTGTATGTGGGAACACTTTGCTAGCAATAAAATGGCAGAAAGTCTTCCAGAGCAAGAAGGTGCCTGGTGATTAGATTGTTCATACTGGAAGAAGGAGACCCCTGTTCTTAGGATTGCTTCTGTTTTTATTAAATGGCTATCTAATGTGCCATGCATAAACAGACCTCAGCATACATACTTGAACCCACGTCTCTTTTTGAAGTAGAAAACAGTCATCACTAAGCAAATGCTCATCACTAAGCAATAGTATTTTCCCCACCCCTACTGTAATGTTCAAAAAACATAGCTCAAAATAAAGCCTTACTCTTGGACATTAAAAATTAGGTTAAAGAAAAAACATGCACGCCACATCTCCCTCCCCCCCTCCCTCCCCCTACTCGCTCAACCCCCAGGTGGGGCAGCAATGCTGGGTGGGGCAGAGTGTGGGTGTGTGGGGGGTGGGGACTACAAGTCCAAGCAGCCCCAGGGGCTGGCACAGCTGCCGTAGCCACACAAGGTGGCAAACAGGTGAAGCAACAGTGCTCTGCACTGCCACCGCCCTGTGCTTCCTGAGCTACCACAGAGCAACTCACTCCACCTTGTTGTACAGGGTGACCCCTACTAGTCCTTCACCCTTCTCTCCCTGCACCCATCCTCCCTGAAGCCGAGGCATAGATAGAAATGCCACTGCAACCATGCAGGCCAGGAGGATGGTACAGAGGTAGGAGGGCAGCAGTGGTGGCAGGGTCTAGTACCACGTAGCATGCTGCAGCAGGCTAAGCTACTCCAGGACCATCTGAATGTGGCTTGCCCAGGGACTACTGCATGAAGCTAGGTCAGTGGAGCTGCTTCTGCCCATTGTTCCCTGTCATACCAGCAGAGGCCAGAGCCAGAGCCACTGCCTGTGCTGTGGGCTAGATGGAATTGGTGGGGCAGATATGGTCCACAAGCTGTATTTTGCCCACCCCTACTCTGTTGTTCAAAAAACATAAATCACTCAAACATTACTCAAAAAACAGATACCAGGACAAAAAATATTTTTTGAAATAAATATGTTATAGTAGATGTTTGATTTTTAGCATGAGATTTATTTTTTATCTATAATTTGTTAAAATTATGTCTTCACCATTCATTTAATGTGTGTGAGCCTGAACAGCTCACCAAAACTCATTAAGTGGCCCTCTGGCCAAAATAATTCCCTACCCCTACAATAAAGCCACACACCTTCTTTCTTTTAGCCCCATGAGTCTTGCATTTTTGGTTTCTTAGTGTCTCAGCTTCAGCAGAGGGAGTGGAGGGTACTCCCACCCAGACTATTCAGTAGCTTGGTGTTTAGGATACTTCTTTGGAAAGTAAGGTGATTTGGATTTGAGTCTCCTAAGGACAGACTGAGGTGGATGAGAACCCTGGTTTAACACTGCACATAGGATCAAGATTGTATTTGAAATCAACAGCACAATATCCACCCTGATTCCTTTATGGAAGATCCACAGTAAAATCATAAATTGCCTTGTGAATAATTTGAGTGATTCATTCCCAAGCAAATCTCTTATTTTCCAATGCAAACATTCCATAAAGGTAACACAGTACTCCTAAACATGAGCCAGACATAAACCAATTTCACTCAGATTATGTTTGTGTCATAAATAAGGCTCTGTATCCACTCGGTTCAAATCGGCCTTCTTAGCAGGCTTGTGCGTGTTAAATCCTGTCTCTGACCTCAGGCAGCCTGCTCTAAATGCTTGACTCTAACATGTGAAAAAAGAAGCCTGAAAAATAACACTGAACTGAGCTAAGGCTAAATCTATTTGGCTTCATTACATCTATTACTTGTGATCTGTCTTTGTAAATAATACTTATTTAAATATATTTTACAGCCTTCAATTTTACATGTGAAAAAATCCTGAAAATATGAATTTTTTAATTTAAGGAAGCTTACTTGGAACAAGGAAAACTTAGGTGACCTTTAGATACAAAAAAGTGGTTCCATATCACATCATCTATTTTACAATGTAAATGCTCAGTAGCACTCTCTACCTATCCAATCAATTCCCTATATATCTTTCTTAATTGGTTCCTCCTTTCCAGATATATGCTTACAGATCCTGATTGGGCAGGTCTTATACATAATGATCCAGATAAGACAATTTAGAATATATCACTGAATGACAAGTCAGTGTTCAGACACTTCATGATTTTTTGTGGACCTTAGCCTGCAGCCATTGAGATCTCTAATCCTTGTGCTACTTGAGTTCAGATAACAGCAGGTTTAAGCACTGTACAACTATAAACATAATGGGTGTTTATACACATGCTCTGGGAGTGGGGCAGGGTGCTTTAATTAGAGCGGCTGCAAGAACTGCTCTAATTAAAGTGCCCAGAACATCATGTGTATCAGCATCCCCACATTGAAAAATGGCAGTGGAGGCGTTTTAAACTAAAGCTTGTCAGACAAGCTTTCAAGTGTCCCCACTGCTATTTTTCAGCACAGGGACACTAATACACATGACACTAGAGTCTGTTGGAGCATGGTACTTACCACACTCCAGCAGACTCAATAAATC